ATTGAACCCTGAAACAACCTCTGGGCTGATCTAAGTCAGGGCATGGCTAACTCACAGATCGAACCCTGAAACAACCTCTGGGCTGATCTAAGTCAGGGTACGGCTAACTCACAGATTGAACCTTGAAACAACCTCTGGGCTGATCTAAGTCAGGGTATTACTAATTGTTATGATTCTGTTTGTCCTTACAGGAGAGAATGTTTCAATTCTGGTTCAACACATTTTTCATCAGTACTGCTTATACTAATGTTGATACGGAGAACAAAGATGAAGAATGTGACCCAACCTTGTTTACATTTAATGACAAAAACTCCCCCGAGGATAGGTGGTTTACACTACCCAAGGGCTGTATAGATAAAGCGCATAAGGATGAAAGATGTAAACTATTTCCAGTGGATTTTAAGGTAAAAAATGTCAAAGTAAAAGGAATATTCTGAAAATAACAAACGACACTTGGTAAACTTTTGAAGTTTTTACTTGACATGTTGCAGCAATTATTTTTGAATATTGTTACGCATTTGCTTCTTTTAAATAAAAAAAATTATGATATTTTAGATATCTATGAAAGCAGCTTTATCTATGATGATAATTGACTTTGTTTAGAGATGGTGGCGTGTGACAGTCGGAATAATAATTAATGTAAATTAATTAAAATAAATGATAATTGTGGTCCTCAATGTTTAACTTCTCTGAATGAGACGGGACCACCATTTTACATGGTCATTTGAGCCACAGCAATGGTCTAACCATTTGCAGATATTTTTTAGAACAAGGCAGTACTTTCTACTTAGATATTATAAAAATCTAAGTGTAGGTTCTGCCGAGTCTTGAACCATGACCTCATTCACAATATAGTATGGTATATGGGAAGCACCGGTGGCGTGCGCTGCTAATGCGCCCCCTCTCACCAATGCGGCCCAAGTTCGAGTCCTGCCTATCTTGATGTCATATGTGAGTAGAGTTGTTTGTTGGTTCTCTCCTGCTGCTTCGAGGGTTTTTCTCAGGGTTCTCCGGTTTCCCTCCCTCCTCAAAAATCAACTTTTAAATTCTAATTCGATCTTTGGGCTTTCACTTAGTTTGGAGTCTAGCTCTGTTGTGATTGTCCCATGCTGTGATACAACAGCGAAAAGCTTTGTAGATTTTTTTAAATATGGTGCCCAACCAACCGTGCCAACCAGCTGAAGCTTCGTACAAAATTATAAGAAAACTTAATTGTATGCACTTTTTAATCTTTTTTTATCAGGTGAAGGTATATTTCTCTGAGGTTGGTGAACGAGAGAGGCCAGTATATGAGAAAACATTGCCAGTTGCTGAAATGAGAAAACCAAGAAGGACTAACCACAGATTAAGACCATCATCTAATAAGAATTTTGATGATGCCAGCAGCGGCAGCTGCTATCCAATGGAAACAGATGAAAAATCACCATTTAAGAAGGTTAATAGCGAGAGCATTGGATATCAGACAGAAGAGGAAGATGATACCATTTCAGATACCGACAACGAAGAGACTTGGGAACAGGAAGGAACGATGGTTTGAAATCTTCGGAATGACAGGTCTGATTTTGTTACCATACATGTAATTGTCGTTATAAGGTTCCAAATCCATACAAGCAAAACAAAAAAATGCTCGTCGATTTTCCTATTGTTTTATATCCTCTACACAGAGTGATTCTATTTAACCCATAAATAGATATTATTACTAATAGATAATAAATAAATAATAATAAAATTGAAATACTGTGTAAAGGGAGTATGTAATTGGAATTTACATTTTGGAACAAAGTTTTTGGAACTTACTTATATTTTTGAAGTGAGAGAAGAAATGCGAAAAATGACTAACTATGAGTAGGACTCAATGGATAATTTTGACGATATGGTGGCCATCCTTCCAGCGGGCAAAATAAAACAAAAATCATTAAGAATATAAAGAGTTTCATGTATTTGTCTCTTTTATGGGTTAAGGTGATGGATGTGCCACCTTAATTTTTCTTTCGTTTTATTTTCTTATGGTGAGCTGTTAATATCAATTGGGGTTATTATTATAACAAAGCTTTATTTCCCCCTTGGATGCCCCATAATGCCTTGTGATTCTAGATGGCTGCCGTATCATTGAAGTTGTCCATGGCATATGTACTCAAAACGTTCGGGCTGATCAAACTCAGGGCACAGCAAATCCACATATTGAATTGGGATTTAGCTTGCTGTGCTTTGGGATTAAGAGAACCCAGAGAAAAACCTTGTATTCCCAGGCAGGGGCGTATCCAGGAATTTTAGAAGGGGGGTGACTATTACAAAGGTTTTACCAGGAATTCGAGTTAAAGGGGGGTGACTGTTACTAACGATGTACTGAGAAAGTTGAGCGAGAGGGGGATGACTAGTCACCTACTTCACCACTCCTGGATCCTGAACCCCTGCCAGGGAAGTACCCGTTATTGCTTTCTATCAGTTATATATTTTAACTACTTATTTCTGTTAACAAACATTTCAAATGCTAATTATTGGACGTTTACCATTTAATTCCATTTTATGGGTCAAGTAAAATCACTCTTAGAAACATTTTACTAAATAGTTAAGAGCATGAGCCAAAAAGCTTGTGAAGAAAAATGTCTTTTATTTTTATTTTTTCTTATTTTAATTTTGTAACAAAATAATCTAGAAACCTGAAATTCCTGTCATTCTACTCTAACCGTCAACACTCGACTTTATTTTATTCTTTATTTGTGTAAATATACTTTTATCTTTTAATTTCTCTTTCATCATTTCATCTCCTTGAATAGCTTTTTTAGACTTTCAATACTAGAACTAGAACTAGAATTGGAACTGGAATTCTAGAATTCTATTGTTTTTGATTTGTAAAGTTATTGGTTGACAAACTCTAGTGTTTTATGGTTAGAGTAGAACGATAGTAAAACATTTTGAAATGTATAAGTGAGTAAGAATAGAAGTTCTGACCAAAATGTAAAAATCAACATTTTATTGATATACAAATGTACGTTAAGCCTTGTTGTTATATTTTCCATACAATCTACTTTTGTCTAATGTCAATATTTCTAGTCTTGGTCATTATCAATATTGTTATTAATCCATATACTTGTCAACTCTGATCATAAACTCTCTTTAATGGACAGATCCAGGCAGGGTAGGTTAGAAATATATCCATGCTTCTACCTATACGACTCTTATTCTTACAGAAGTGTCTAATATCAGAGAATAAAGGCTATTCTTGCTGTTGATTGTCAATCAATCTAGCATGGTTAGCTGATCAATCCAGTAGCATTCAGTTGTTACTTTCAAGACTACCTTTATCATGGATTCTGTGCTCAACATTCTTGTTGAATTTTATGTATAAGATAATAATTTAACACACAGTCTCCTTGATTTTGGTGTGCAACCTGTAACAAATCAAACACAAAGATCTGATTGAATATTACTACAAGATGATGAGGAATAGACCAATTGATGGTTTTCAACCATTCCCAAGAGAATTAAATGACAAGACATGGCAGCCATGTTGGAGGATATAACGAGAGAATTCATTGACAATTCTTTTGTTAAGTTCCTCCAACATGGCCACTGTGAAAACCATCAATTAAGATTAGGCCTAAGGTTTTCCCATTTCAGACCATGTGTCATTCTCTAGAAAAAGATTCTTTGTTTGAGTTGTATCCATATTCATGTGTCTTCTAGTGCACAATGGTTAAACAAAGAAATGATACTCTAGAGAATGACACATGGTTCTAAGACAATATTGGATTTTCATGGATGCAGTATAAAATGCTATTTAAATTATCAATTTTCTATTAAATCACTATCCAATAGATAAGCAGATTTTTTAACATGAATGTAAAAAATCACATAAACTTGCATTTCATTGACCTGTACATAGAGTGAACAATTTATTTGCTGTTTGATTTGTTTAATTCAGCTACGGGTACAGTACCTAGATGCAAAATCTCTCTATTCATGGCCGCCACATTAGCATGTATGTATGAAAAGTCACTGAGATAATTTCAGTTCAAATCTGTGAAGGTAGAACATTGATCCCAAGCACTTTTCAAATTTTAGTGCTGTCTTGCTTTACTCTCTCCTTATGACCAGCAGTTGCTCTTCTTGGTCTTCTTTATTCTCATATGCACCCCACCTCCCTTGCATTATTTTGGTTCTGATCCAATACCATCAACAATTTCCCAGATCCCTTGCCATTCCTTTGAGTATCATTTTTTACATTTACCTGCCTACTTCTAAGATAAAAGGCAAACGAAGAATAATATTCCCAAAAGAATTGAAATGGCTAGAATTTCTCAAGGGCGGATCCAGCCAAAATTTTAGGGGGGGGGGGGCTAATTGAGTTTAGGGGGGGCTAATTGAGTTTCTTCCGTCAACACAACCGAAAATAATATAAAAAAGCATCGTTTTGTTCTGCTGAAGGGGGACTTCAGCCCCCCTTTGCCCCTCCTGGATCCGCCCTTGTTTCTCAGCTACAGACTGATATACTGGCTGTAAGCAATAAAAATGTGGGAATAATAAAACATGTTGTATAACATCCATGCAGTGTGAGTGAATAAAATGACTTGATATTTTTAACTTGTGGATACATGAAGGGTAGAAATGAGTTGTTGTAATGGGTCTCAATATGCAAATGTGTCACCCCCTCCCTCCCTCCCTCCCTCACTATTGTAGAATGTTCACTTATTTCACACTGTAAGTAAATAGCAGCTATTATAGATGCATGCAAATGAGACAATACTGGTATGATTCTTAAACAAAATAATTTCTCATTGCAGGCTCAACTGTAATAACAGCGATTGAAATCAGGGTTGACTTGCAACGAAACTGCTAATTATTTATGATTTATTTTATTTTAAATTTTTATGGCTTGTGTCAGTAACATAAATATATTCAAAATTCTTTAATATTTACAATAGCATTAAGAAAACAGAAAATTATATGTTGCAAAATTAAGATTTTTCATTGCAAGAGATGACCTAAGTCAGATGTGCATTACAGTGCAGTAGTGATCAAAGAACAGCACACAGGAACCCAGGCTGTTCATTGTACTGTAGTTGTCAGCTAATTTTAGTTCCTTCGTCCTCAGGCTGATTTAGAGTATTCTGCAGGCCTATTTTATCATGGCAAGTACTATTACCATCAGTTTTGGTATTTAAAATGTCATTTTCTGAAAGTTCATTGTTTTTGACAATCGTGTAGCCTTGGAGAGGAGTCGTCTCATTATCCTTGGTTATGAACTCTGTGTGCAATGGCTCTTCTCCCTCAGTGCCTTCATCGTTGCCTCTGTCAGGGACTTTATTGATTTCTGTACTATATTCATTTTCTAGTTCTTCCTCGACAACATTCCTATCATACTCTACCCCCTCAAGTATAGCGCCTTCTAGTGATTTCTTTACGTCCTCTTCGAATGATTCGTGTTGTTGTCGATCTTCTGGATCGAAGTATGGATTCAGAGGATCCTCCAAATTTGGATTATAAAGCAAGAACAGCAAACCTTGCACACAGTCTTCTAGATCGTTTTGATCTGTCCAATCGTCAAATAAACTCAAGCAAACGTCGCCATCTTCTTCCTCGCTGATGTTTGGATGGTATATCCTCGTCTCGCAACAAACTTTTGGTGCTTCTTTCGGGTAATTTTCTATTTTAACTTTGAAATTAAACTTCCCTCTCTTGTAGTAACCATCAGTTGGTTTAATTTCGAGATGAAACTCTGTCACATCGTCTTCGAAGTCTAGAACTTTTGCTTGATTGTTTGAAAGTTTTTTGACATTTTTAAGAAGACGATGAAAATCTTGAGTGAGCGGAGTGAGTTGACCACACATTTTATGGTTGTATATCGGCTATTCTCCTGTCTTTTTACCTCGCTGATGGATTGTATTTCTAGATTTCTTTCTTTCCATGTAAGTAAGTTGCTTGTTTGTCGTAAAATGAATCTTGCAAGCCGTTAAAAAGACAAATATACTCCGGTTGAGAAAATTACATCAGAAAGTTTGATGTAATATATGAAACAACTTGCAAGCTTTGACATCTGTGGTGCAACCGGAACCAAAACAACTCGTAAACGACCAATCACAGGAGAACATTCTTGAAAACCGGAAATAAAGTTACACCATCATTGGATGCAATCGTCAGAAATAGGGGTYAATACCCCCTGTGGAGTGTTAAAATGATAAATGGTATAATAATAATAAATAATTTTTAAAAATATTTAAGATGCCACTTTCATTGACTCTATTATTCTATTTTTTCGGACACATAGCATTCTTGAGGGATATATTGCTTTTGAATTTATATTGAAAATGAAAAGAAAAAAAAAATGATAATAATAATAATTAAAGGAAAAGCAAAAGACGATAGAGAAAAAAAATATTTAAAAAATGGAATATAAGATATAAATGAGAAAAACGGAATAAAATGAGAATAAGATATGAGGAAAAGAGGTATTAGATTCCAGTTTCCCCTCGGTGTATATCTCCCATCATGCAATAGGTAGATGCTCGTGTTTATATTTTTTACTTCCAGGAAACAACGCATGAAACTCTTAAAAACTGTCGATAAAGAGGCTTTGATCTACTGATTTTCTCTCTTACACTCCAATCTACTCTATGCACAGTATTAAACACACGGTAAGGAAATTTCAATCGCAATWTCGTGTATAGAGAGTGAATGTTGAGACTTGCAAAACCAATGAGGATTTCTACATTTCTTGAAATTAAGGACAGTCTTCAATCCTTCCTCTTATAAATCGTGCTACGTGTCTTCCTCTTCATAAATCGTGTTATGTCTAGAAATTTGGTATCAGCCTTTTCTCAGGCTTTGAGATTTTATTATGGTGAGATTAAGATCGTTATAATCAACTGAATAAGCATGACACATGGCTAGCTGCTGTCATAATTGTGGGTCTATCAACCTTAAACTTAAAATGAGCTCATTATTTCAAACGTTAACATATCTATACTGGATAATMTTGAATCATTAAAATCACATAAGATTTTAAGTGAATTTAGTTGGCTATTGCCAATTAATCAATTCAAAGCTGTGCATAATATTGATATAATGCTGGTCCTTTTTTAACGTTGTCCTATTTCAGCATTTGATCGATGCCATGTGCCCATCATTCCCTTGATTATTTTATCCTTTTTTCGTGTATGAAAATGTTTATAGTAAATATCTTTATCTCAGATTGTGAGAATGTTATGTAAAGGGTAATATAATTATAAAGGAAAGCAGGTATTTGTGCAAGAATATAATATACTGAAACTTGTATAGTAATAGTATAGTAATTGTATAGTAACGTATAAAAACGTATTCCTAGTCACCACAGCAAGTATAGCAGTGGCCCATATATCTCAACGGGATCAAACTGAAATGATGTGAAGGCATCTCTGGCAGCCACTTTACAGTCCATATATGACCCCAGAGCACTGAGCTCTTACCAATTGTATCTATTATTAATTATTATATTATTTTTTCAGATTGACACTTTAAGCAACCAGATGTTCAAATTAAAAGAACTGCAATAAGCTGTATAGCTTCTGAGTCATATAAAGATGTATATGCATCAAAACCAGCAAGATACACCCCAAGATGGATGGGTGGAAGTAAAATGTCTGGGAGCTGGAGGATTTGGGACGGTAGTGTTATGGGAGAACAAGGTAATCAGTGTTTGATGAAGACTTTTATCATGGGTCAAGAGTTTTAAAATCTTTTATAGATATTTTGGAGTTATTGAGAGTGGCATAGGGGTAGTGAACTTGGGTTTTCCATTTGAGGTCTCTGGTATTAGTTTTGGATTCAGCATCACATGGATTCAAGGGTTTTCTTCAATCTGGTTTCTCTGGTTTTCCTTCTTCTGCAACACACTAAACTCCTATTCCATTTCAATTTAGTCGTGCCCTAACATAGGTTACACCAGCAGTTGCTTTAGGGTGTAATGAAATGGAAATTAGCTACAAGCTTATCAATCATATCATTTTTGTAAAAAACTTTTTGYACAAAATTTTAATCAGGTTATGAAGGAACAAATAGCAATTAAAAAGTGCCGTCTTGATCTCAACCCTCGAAACAGACAAAGATGGCAACAAGAAGTAGATATTTTGAAGAGACTTGATCACGCAAACATTGTGAAGGCCAAGGAAGTACCAGCAGCCCTTGATGTGCAAGAAGGAGAGCTTCCACTGATGGCCATGGAGTACTGTTGTGGTGGTGATCTCAGAAAGGTTACTATGTAGAAAAAATAGAACTTTAGACCATGTCCCTAGAGCATCAATAGGCCTTTAAAAACAACATGTAACACAGGAGAAATGGCTTTGAATACAAAATCGTATATATTTTATAAGGATTTGTGAAAATGTGTCATCCAGCACATTTTCCTATACAAATTCTTATAAAATATGCCATTTCTCCTGCATGTATAGTCAACATTATGAGCTAAAACTTTGCCTTCTTACTAATATTGAGGTGCTCTTTCGATTTCTGGTGTTCATTTTGACACACCTCTTTTTACAGGGGGTAGGATCACGTGACCCGTTGTCGTAAAAGGCCTATTCTTTGTTTAACCATTGTGCATGAGAAAACAAATAAATATGGATACAACTTTAACAAAGTAATCCTATTCTCAAGAGGATAACATACTATATGGGGAAACATTGCTCCCAAGCTGTCACTTCTAGAGGAGAACCGGTGAAAAAACCTGTGAAATTTCAAAAATTCACATATTCATATTTTTTACCAGGATTTTCATGCTTTCTTACAGGTCTTTCATAGCTATAGGTTGGCTTTTGTAGCTCAGTTGCCAAGTCGTCTGTAAATCTAACATATCAACTAATCTGCATTATCATTATTGTCATTTAGATTTTGAATTCACCTGAGAATATATGTGGAATAAGAGAATCAAGTGTAATTAATGTTGCTGCCGACATAGGTATAAAATATATTTTTGTCTCAGATTGCTTGTGTGATTTTAAAAGTCAGGTCACAAGATTATTTTGAATGTTATAAATTGATAATGTTCAAATGACAAAGTCAATTATAATGGCTTTGCAATTTCTGTAGCATTTCAAGGAACTTAAGGAGTATCACTTCTATTGCTACTTGCACTCAATGGTATGGTATTACATTACAGAATACTCCACCCCCCCACCCCCCCACCCCCCACTATTCCTGCTGCATGTCCTGCATCAGAGTGCAAGACTAGCTAGCCAGGGCTATAAATATTAATTTCACCTAATCAAATCTATCTTTTCTCTTTCTTCCCATGTAGCATGTGCCATCCAGTTTTTGCATTCAAAACGTATAATTCACAGAGATTTGAAGCCTGAAAATATTGTTATCAGCTATGAAAGTGGAAAGGTGAGTTATAAGTCCCACTTATCCCCTCCCTCCTCCCCCGATTACAAGCCCCCTCCCTTTCTCCCTCCCCCCTGATAATAAGCCCATCTAAAAAAACTTGTATAAGCCCAGGCTAATTATAAACAGAATTCTACAATATATCAACATCAACATTAACCACCCAAAGGTTCAAAGGTTTTTATATAAGAAGTGTCCTGTACCCTAGCAGTACTCAGGTGAAATATAGTTCGAAAACCTCAAATTTATGCCACCATTACTGCGATTCCCAGTCACACGCGACCAAGTGAGACCAAAATCACAAACGAAAAATTGAGTTTTAGTGGATGTCAATTAAAAAGGTTTCTTAAACATGTCTAAGGATTCCGACTCCGAATTTCAAATGTTTAACTGCAAACTATCAGTATTGACTTATCCTATCTTGAAGAAACTCAAATTATAGCCATAGCGATAGCTTTGCAATCAAGCGTTAAAGATTTGGAGCCAGAATCCTGTGACCATTTTTGAGAAAATATATCCAGAGTGAGAAATTCACAGTGACAAGAACCATGAGATAAGGACAAAGATTTTTGCACATTTGCATGTGTACATGTGAGAATTTACATCGGTCCTGGTGTAGAAACCAATAGAAAYGATAGAAACCCTTTTGATTGACGTCCACCCAAATTCAACTTTTCGTTTGTGATGAAGGTCTAGTTGGTCGTGTGTGACTGGGAATCGCAGTAATTTTAACTATAATGTTATCTTAATGTATTGGTGTGGTTTAGTGGTAAAAAATACACTCGTCTTACTCTTCTTTCATTTATTTGATTGCGTTTGAGAGAGAGTTCCTAATAAAGGACAGATTACAATTTAACGATAAGGCAGAAAAGGATTAAAGCAAACGGAAAGCAAAAGAAATAGGAAAAAATACTTACAAAACGATGTGTAATTTAAGACGGTCGGTGTTGAACTGAAAAATTACTAACTGAGCTTGAGTGAACTTAACTTAGTCTAAATTATGCACATATTTTGTCTGGAAACAAAAGGCGAAAAATGCACACGGGAAAACGCGTAAAATTCCAATCTAGCACTAACATAATGTGTTCTTACCAGGCGGTCTACAAATTGATTGATCTTGGGTATGCCAAACAGCTGGATCAAGGCAGCGTGGCAACAACCTTTGTTGGTACTCTTAGATATCTGGTAAGCATGCAGAATACAGTAAAGGGCTATTAAAAATACTATATAATTAAATACTTGATGTATTACCAAATGAAACTGAAAACTGGAAAGTCCATGAAGAAGATAACTTGATTATTCGTAAGAAAAAAATACCAGTACATGTAATTACCAATAGATGTTGATACATTACAACCGCAGTAGAAATATATATTTCATATTTATTCTCATACATCAGGCCAATAAACCACCTAATGTGTCCTTGAAGTCTCATAATAGACTTGGTAGCTCAGCATGGCACCGGAATCACCAGGGCACAGGTTCAAATCCCGTTCAAGACTCAGAATTTTTCAATTTGAAGCTGCATAAGTTGCTTGGCATACTGTGAGGATCAGCTCAATTTGATATACATGTATATACTACAGATTTCATTGCAGTGTGGCACGCATTAAAAAATTCGTCTGTGAATTTGCCTACGAGAGGCTGTGACTCCGCCCACTTGGAGTCGTGATTTTGTCTGCATTCTTTTCTCGGCTATTCCCATGCAACGTTCAATTCGAAATTATGGCGGCGAGTAGAAGGTTCGAGTTCCAAGTTGAGTATGGAGGCGGGGGAAGTTTTCGAGCAATTTCTACAAATTTTCCAGGAAAGCATCATGTTATGATATCCCCACCACTTTCAACAATCTCATCTATGACGAGAGATCTCAAATCACTACTTATGCTCTTCCCCTACTGTAAACACGACCAAGTTGGCTAATGTCCACTGTGCATTTCACGAGAAAGGAATGCAGACAAAATCCAACTCCAAGTGGGCGGAGTCACAGCGTCTGGTAGGCAAATTCGCGGATGAATCGAATTTTTTAATGTATGCCACACTTCAATGAAATCCGTGGTAGTTGTGTCTTGTCAGTTTGGACTGGAGAAAATAATTAATTATAGTCAAACCATGGAGGTATGTCAAACTGCCATTGTTGCCAGACAGTGACTGGACATCACAAAAATTTGGCAAGAGAGATGTCACTAATGGAAATGTTTTTTAAATATTTGTTGAACCCAGGGATTTTAAGGTTTTTGAAACTTCTAATAGTGGTCAAGAAAAGTCTTGCATAAACCTGCAAACATTGTAGTCATAGCAAGTTAATTGATTACTGATGATGCCCATTTGTATCTTATTAATTCCTTAAGTCATTTATTCATGGTACTGTGTGTCCATTATCTTCAGGCTCCTGAGCTACTGGCAGGCAATGGTAGCTACTCCAAAACTGTAAGTTGATTTGTTATTAGTATCCTGACTGTATTTATTCACTTTTTTAAAATCTGTAAATTATTAGCATACTAATTGTGTATGGATTATTTCAGGTAGACTATTGGAGCCTTGGTACAGTATTATTTGAATGTATCACTGGAAAACGCCCTTTCCCAGACCTATTTCCTGTTCACTGGTATGATAATGAATATAATAAAAAATGTATTTGTAACAATAGCTGAACTGCATCCCTTTCACCTCTCTATTGACCACAAACTATACCCCTTCTTATTCAACTCATTCATATTCATGAAGGAAGCACCATAGAAGTCATAACCACTTAGAGATATGTCATTCTGATACAAAAATATATTATTTTATATAAGTTTTAATTTGTCCTCTTAATCTTTGGTTACTGGACACAGTTTACATAATTCAATATAAACAACAAAAGACCTTATAAAATACAATGAAGTGAGAAAAGAATAAATTAGCTTTGCAGTACATTCAAAAAAAGATCCACATTTTCTCAGAAAAAATTAAACTACCCTCTAACTTCCTCCATCATTCATTCGATGATGTATGACCCACAGATTACCCAACTTATGATACTTACCTGAACTCAAGCCAATTTTGTTTTTTTCTAGGCATAAAGTAATCGGACTCAAGTCAACTAAAGATATTCATGCTTATTATGATGTTTCAGGTATGAAAACTTACTTCACTGACGACAGTTTTGTTCATTTGGAAAACAGATTTTCTCATGTAGTATAACATTACAGACTAGATGTCTTAGGATTTTTAAAATTTGTTACAGGTTAATAGTAACACCAACTATGAGAAAATTTCACAACTTTAAATTAAAGTCTATTTTTTTCCAGATGAATTGAAGTTTTCAGATGTATTTCCATATCCAAATTCTCTCTCAAAGTAAGTTATTTTGAAGGGGTGGGGAGAGGTCAGGGGCTGTGTATCGTATCCCCTTCCTCCTTTTATATCCCTCCCTGGTGGAGCTGTAAATCTTTCTATGGAGAATTACTTGATGTGTTGACTGATAGATTTGTCGGTAATTCACTATTATAGCAGTCTGTCTTATGTTGCTACATAGTTTGTGGCTCTTRTGTCGAAATTTACCACTAACAGGGCCTCATAAATGGTGCATCAACTCCTTAAAAGACCTGTACGCAGTCCCTGGTTTGGTACCTTTATCTAATACTGGAATTTATGGCTTGGATTTTTTTAACTGTAAAAAACATCTTTCAGGTGTTTTCAAGATAAATTTGCAAGTCTTTTGCGGCTGCTACTGTTGTGGGATGCAAAGCAGCGGGGTGGTGAAGTCAAGGAGAATGGTTCACCAGAATGTTATATTTTATTACAAGATATTGTATATACTAAGGTAAGAAAAAAATTGAAAATATCTAATGTATTGTATTTATTTCCTCCTTAGAAGGTTGTTGAGGGTCTGAGGAGGGTATATATTGTGTAGTTCCATAAAATATACATACCTTCCCATGGAGGGGGATTAGAATTTCCGAGGGGTGGGGAGGGTCTGAGGGTCTTTGTGTACCAGTAGTTCCAAAAAATATCTGTACCTCCCACCCCTCCCCACTCCCCCCACAGAAGAGGCTTGATGTATAACTTCCCCTATACCAGAATCTATTTATGTTTTAATCATACTTCCTTTTTTTAGGTCATACATATATTCTGTGTCTTTACCTGCACACTATTAACTTATGAAGTCACTCAAAATGACAAGTAAGTGTTTTTGTCTTGGGATCCCTGTGTTGTCTTTACCACAGGATGCCCAGAACCACAAATATAATGCAATGTTATTCATTCCTCAGGCTTGRTGATATTAATGTTAAGATTTATGAAGACACAGGCATTGCAGCTGAGGATCAAGAAATTATTACTTCTGCTGGGGAGGAAGTATCAATGGACTCAACAATGTTGGACTTCATTAATACTGATGTAAGTATCATTCTATTATTGAATTTTCATTTTTACTTCAAAAAATTATGTTGGAAACTTTGATAGAATTTATTGGTTCATCCCTCAATCTATCCCTCCATTTGTCACATCCCTCCCTCCCTCCCTCCCTCCCTCC